TGTTAAAAAACAAAAACGATTTTCAATTTTTTTGTAGTTTATTGCACTTTTTTGCAATTTATATAATTACTATGCACTTAATGAATACATATTATTAAAATCTGGGCTATAATGGTTGTATTGATGTATAGCAACTTGAAATGCTCCCAAAAATGGCTCCACGGCATGTAAAAAAATAATATAAGCTCTGGCGGACTTGGTTCTATGGTAGGTCTTAAAGGGTTAACCTGCTGCCCCAGCATGCAACAGCATAGAGGATAGCACTGACCACAAAAGACTCATAGAAAATCCTGAGCATCGTCTGACAGATGTTGAAGGACCTCAGAAAATAGAGACAACTCTGGTCCTTCCTATAAAGTGGAGTGGTGTTTTTTAAAGTGCAATTTATTGTCTATGTATACTCTGAGGTATTCATAGTCCTCCACAATGGCCATATTGACCCCTGGATTGAAACAGGAGTCAAGGTTTTCCTGGTTTTCCTAAAGTCACAATCAATTCCTTGGTCTTTGCCACATTGACAAAGGAGTCAACCATAGCCCGGTACTATATCAGAGTGGGTAGTAATAATAGAGTGGATAGTAACAATAATAAACATCATCATCATTATCATCATAATCATAATAATACATTTTATTTATAAAGCACCTTCTAGTGTCGCATGCAGCTGTGGAGTTAGCAGAGGAAGGAACGTAAACAGCCACCAACATTGCTTGGGTAAATTCCCTGGGCAAATAATACAGCCGGAGTCCAGCAGTGCACAGTTCAATGTCAGGACAGGAAATCCGTTCTTTGATTGATATGTGGGCAGGGTTATTGTTGTTAACAAAAATGGCAAACCTCCTTGTTTCTGCTTACCGCTTGCGGCGCTGCAGATATCCTGTTCATAAAAAGATTTTCTGTTCATAAAAAACTATGAAAATTATGAACAGAATCATGACAAAGAGCAGCCCTGGCGGAGTCCAACACCCACCTGAAACAGGTCTAACTTACTTCCAGTGATACGAACTGAGCTCTATTATTTATATTTTTATATTTGTACAAGGACCGAATGGTCTGTAAAAAGGGGCCAGACGCACCATTCTCCTGAATGGCCTTAATAAAACAACAACTGATAATTCTCTTTCATGTGACCATAGCAGCACAGTCTCCAGCAGACAACTCTCAAACTGATTCAATGCCTGTCATGTCACGTGGTTATATGCTGCCTGTGTGAATATTTCTATCATAACTCAGAACCACAACTTGTTACGTGATCTTTGAGATATTTTGGAAAAAGTAAACATTGTCATGAATCACCTTCTCCAATGAGGTGTTATTCCTCCCTCTGCCAAGAACATAATGAACATTATTATTTATGAAGTACCAAGCATGATATTAACAGCCAAAATATAGTGAAAAAGTACATGTACATTCAAAAAGTACTTTAGTTGCAGTCCAGTGACCCCTGTCAAATAGATAAGAATGTTTATACGACCACATAGTGATAACTCATCAATGTGAGTAATTTATTCAGAATCCATTAAGAAATTCCATACCACATATGTGATAAACAATTTACTGAACTGTGAATTCTGCAAAGCTAAGCTTGAACATTCAAAGAATATTAATATAGATATGGAAACAAGCATAATAGCTCTGTTGTAATGAAATCATCCTGCAGATGTAACTTTCCTGGTGTGCTCCTCAGTGATGCAGCTTCTAAGATTACAGAATTTTATGCATCATTTATTTAAGACTTGAAATGGAGCTTGCAAAAGTAATCTGTTTTCAGTTTTACATTTGTCTACTTTCTTAACCTCTACACGTTTAAATCTTTATTTCTATTTTTTTTTTATCTTTTCTATGAGGTGTCTTGGGTTTGGCTGGATTGTTGTCATCATATTTTGATTGTTCATCACAAATTGTTCATCAATTTTGAACAAACTGTGAATGTCTTTATTTTCTCGTGGACCAGTTAACCCACAAAACAGAGAAGCAGAGAATACTTTCTTTCCTACCATTACTTCAAATGATAAACCCGGAATACCACAAATCTCTTGCATCCAATACTTCTAATGTCTATAAGGTAAGCTTAAAAAAAACACTACTAACTGCATTTTTAGAATAAAACATTAACTATTCTGAATAGAAATGAAATACTATGTAAAGAGAAATACATCAGTAAGAATAGAGAAATAATATATAGTGCAGACCCGTAACCTTCAAAGATTTAATATTCAAAGATTTGCATCTTATTTTGTGTGCTGCAACCTGTAGAACTGGTGTGGCGCAAGCTCCTGTTTCACTTCCTCAGTAAGCTGTAAGTATCAGTATTTCTTGACCATGGTCCCCTGACCTTTTGTTTTCTACACATGAAAACTGTATGATTTAGAAATGTCCTCCTCTAGATGCCATCTAATGTCAGCCATTCAGTTACAGCACAAATATTTGTATTTGTTTCTAAGTTATTATTTTTTTTAAAATACATAAATTATTAGAACTGTCTTCACAGACAGACTCTTAAATGGCTCTACTGTTTTTTTCTACACAGTGTACCAGTCTCTATTCTCAGTTAATATTTCTGTGGAAATTTAGAGCAGAAGCTTAAAAGTATTTGATCATTGTGATAGCACTGAACAAAAAACAGCCTGATGTGAGTCATTTCCTCATCTGAGCTGTGAACCGCAGATCTGTTAAAGCATGTGATATATGTAGATGTGAAACTCCCCCTCATTCAGCAAACATCAACCAGACAGAAAAATACCCTCTGGACCTCTTACAGCAGATCTATATCTGTTGATGAGTGAGACGCAATGTGGATTACACTTTTTATCACAACAACCCTCTGTTTTTCTATGTCCCGAGCTGGTGGTGAGTAAACCTACCATGTTATCACTCTTATGTTGAAAGGAGTATACTTGTGAAGTGAATAGCACACTAAATATCTCAAAGTTATGAATCCTTGAAAAAGTAAAATTACCCCAGATTCTTTGTTACCAATAGCTAGTAAGGACTCTAAGTCAACCAGTTTCACAAAACTCCCTACAAGTGTGCTGATTAAACACTTGTAAAAGAACATCTTGTCTCTCATGTGTCTCTAGAGTTAGATGCCACTTAGACGTTTAATCAGCTTCCAATCTTGTTTAGATGTATTCATTATGCTAATTTTGATCTTTCCATTCCTGTGTGTTTTATTTTGACAGACTTCTGTGAAAATGTTCTTGATGAATGCCGAAAAAGTGAATCATGGATAGGGTAATTCAACTTACTGTACATATCACATTCCTGTTTTTGAAAATGTATATAGTTAAATGTTAGATAAATGCTGTCAATACTGGCTAAAATGTTTTCATCTCTACAGTGGCTGCTTTTCGGTGTTTTTACATGGCTTCATCATCAAATAATACTTGTTAGAGTGTTAGTATACAGCCTCTAACATATAAATCACACACTGATACTTGTATGCTGAGAGCAAGACCAGTCTTATCTGAGAGGACAGTGGAGAAATGAGTCACAGATCTATAAACTAGAGCAGGGGTAGGCAACTCCAGGCCTCGAGGGCCGGCGTCCTGCAGGTTTTAGACGTGTCCTTGAACCAACACAGCTGATTTAAATGGCTAAATTAGCTCCTCAACGTGTCCCGAAGTTCTCCAGAGGCCTGGTAACAAACTAATCATGTGATTCAGGTGTGTTGACCCAAGGTGAGATCTAAAACTTGCGTTACACCGGCCCTCGAGGCCTGGAGTTGCCCACCCCTGAACTAGAGGAACACAGTGTAACACTGTAAACATAATTTTGTATTATTGTTTAAGTGTATTGTGTAAGCTGGTGTTTGTTAAACTTAATACAGACTTAATTCATCTAGAAACATTATTTAAATGACAATTCTAACATTTTAGCTGATGCTCATGTTTCTTGATTTAAAGAGCTCAGACGTAGGCAGAAGTGCTGGAGATGGCGTAAATCATAAGACTGCGAACCTCTGTGTCCTCTTTCTCTCACTGTTGACTTTTGTCTCTACTTGTCTTTTTTACTGTACTTTTTATATTGTATTTTTATTTTTGCCTTGTGTTAGCTGCTTTGACAGATTTAGGCAGCTAAAAGTTTTCAGTTAGGTTTAGTAAAAAAATGTGGACTGGGTTAAAATACCACAACTTATGCCCTGTCTTATCATTTCTGCAACTCATGCATCAAAGAACCAACTGCAGTAACACTGCGGTCTCTGGCATGGCAGCAGCTTTGTCTGAATGTCTCACATTGTTTTCCTGTGAAAGACAACATCATAGTATTTAAAAATGTTCTATGTACCAATGTCTTTATTTAAATATATTTATCTTTATCAAACTATGAGGTTCTTATGTATTAGTAATGGTTAGATGTACGAATCAAGATTAGTTGGTAAAAAATGTAGTTTAGTCACTAGTTTGGGTTAAAATAAGCCTGTTTACTTTGAAAACTAACCAGTTAGACAGTGCATTCAAATGTTACGCTGAGGGCTCAAGGTTAAATGTTTATTTAAAACAGGAGTTTATAATCGTTGATGCCAAAAGTAGCAGTATCACATTTTGAAATGCCAAAAGACTTAACAAAGCTGTAGAATTTGATATATGATAATATGAACATTATTATTAAATTATTGTCAGAAATTCAAATTAAAGCAGTACAAGATAATTTATTTTTGTTCAACTCAACTTCTTGCAGTTTCATTTTTTCTCCTTTAAATGTATAGCCATGAACAAATGAAGTAATCAAATAGCAGAGAAAGGTCCACTATGAAATAATTGATCTTACTTCTCATCTCTTTGCATTAGTTTGTCTTTTTTATCCTCAGTTATATCCCTGTTTGCATGTTTATATATCTGAACTATGTTAAATATTTGTTGGTAGTTGTTATGAAGACAAAATTATGACCTGCAAGCCAAGAGGCCGCTCCATGACAGGCATCAAACAACTCAAAGTAGACTCGCTTCAAGAGGTGAGGTCATTTGGAGCTGAAGTGCTTTTTAGAAGTGAAAAAGTTACATTTGATCTGAATTTCTGTATTTTTGTATTAATGAACTCTAATTACTGACAACCAACACATTTTTTAAAGTTATGTTTTCGTGTATGCTTTTTAGGTTGATGTGAGGCCTACATTTGAACATAGAGTTCAGATCCCATCATCAGCTCTACAAGAAAGCATAGGAAATGTGTCTGAGGTGGATATCCTGGTGGTGGCCTCTGTAATAAACAGCAGTTATTTTAAGGTTGGTAACGCTAAAAGCAACAGAAAACAAACCTTAATTATTTATCCACAGGAGGTTCAACATTTTCCAATGCTGATGCGTCTTGCATTAGTCTCTTCACACTCAGCTGTTGCTTATTATGAAAACTGATTAAAAGTTGCTCCTTTAATAAGATGTCCATTTACGTTTCACTGAGGGCCACAATGAGAAGTGTTTGCTTTAATTTGATCTAAAATTAAAGTTTGTCTGATATATCTTACAAATTCCTCAACCAGTCTACAAACAAAGTTAACCTTTATTTCAGTAATGCAATGCATTCTGACTACAGTTCTATAAAAAGCCTGCCATACAGCCAACTCACAACAACATGCTTCACAAGCATGAATCCGAAAGCTTTTGGAGCATTTAGTTTTTTCCATCAACATAATTCTAAAAATCTTACAGAGCCTGTTTCACAGGCCTGAACATAACAATGCAATTTGTCTTTACAGCTCTATCTCTTTGAGATTGAACCTGAAGAAGTGTTCTGGGTTGTATTTTCATTAATGGCTCAGCTCTCTACCATGAATGTTTCACAGGGGTCTAATCGAAGTCTGGACTTAAGATATCCTGCTTGAGATATTTAAGCACAACTATATACAAACCATTCATCTTCAAAAATCCTTGTTTGACTGAATTAAAACAATTCTGCAAAGTAGACTGGTGTCACGGCTAATGGAAGGTATGGACTCAAGCACAGAGCTCTGGATGCAAAGCAGACAGTGCGTTTATTTACAGTGCTCAAATACAGTCTTAAACAAGAAAGAAGTGCGATTCTCCAAAGGTGATTTTCTCCCAATTCCCGAAGGTGGTGCAGGTGAGTCTCTTCAGTGAAAATCCGTGTGTGCTTCTCCTCCTGAGTGATAAAGGGAGGGAGACACACACACACACACACACAAGCAGGTCGTCTGGGGAGGACCGTCCGACCGTGAAAACTAGGACAAATTCCTCCACAGTCATGTAAAAAAAATTGTTGACAGTTATTGCAAAATAATAATAATAATAATAATAATAATAATAATAATAAACTTTATTTATAAAGCACACTGAAAACCAAGGGTATACCAAGGTGCTTAAAAAGTAACATAGAGAATAAAAGAAAGATAATAGAAATAGAAATAGCAAGTACTAAATATGCAAGCAGATAACTGTCACTGATACATAGAAGAAGAAGCAGATACACAACAAACAAGGAATTAAATGAGCATAAAAGTGCATAATGTAAAATCATAAGTGAAATGTTAACTAGAGAGAAAGGCAAGATTGAATAAGTGGGTTTTTAGTCGTGATTTGAACAGTGCAATAGAATCAGAGGCGCGGAGGTCGAGAGGGAGGGTATTCCACAGTACCGGGGCAGCCAGAGCAAACGCATGGTCACCCCGAGACTCAGCACTAATTTACTAATAGTTTAGAACGTAAGAAGTAATAATTTAAATTGAATACGGTACTTTATGGGCAGCCCGTGCAAGCCGGCTAGAACAGGTGTAATAGAGCAGAATTTCCTTGTACCAGTCAGAAGGCGAGCTGCCGCATAGAGATTAGGCGCAGTTGGTGGAAGCTATATCTCACTACAGCAGACACTTGCTTCTTACTGAGTTTGAACGAGCTATCCAGCAGTACACCCAAGTTACAAATATACCAAAATGCAAAAAACTTTTCATAACACTGTACTTGTGGCACTTCAAACTGCAGCTGCAACTAGCCAACATTTTCAAAAAAAATCTTAAAGTGATGTGGAAATTAGTGGTGCAACGGATCATGGTTGATCCGTAACCCAAACCGATCCCACTCCACGGTTCGGCACGCACGTGATCCGAAAAAGAAGGAAAAAAAGGATGTGTATGGTGCGCGTGGTCAGTCTGTCAAGCAATAGTTATGGCCAGCGTTAGCGGTCCAAGTGGAGGAGCAGAGGAGTTTGCGGCATTTAAGCAGCCCTTTGCTGCCCAGTCTGACTGGGCTAAAGCTATTACAAAAGCTACTGGGGTGTTTAGCTGCAGACATTGTGCAAAATAAGGGGTTTAAACTATGATAAACGTGCTTGAGCCACGCTATGATATCCTGTTGCACGTCCACTTCAGTGACAAGATTGTACCCAGGCATGTATGAGCAGGAAAAGTTTAAAGTTATGGCTGAACTGTCCCAGGCATCTTCTGTTGCCCAACTACAAATGGGTGGACCTCCAGGGCAACGGAAAGTTGCGTGACCGTGACCGCTCATTATATCACAGCGGAGTGGTAGATACAAAGCCCTGTACTGCCCTATATTGCACCTTAATTAGTTTTTATACAATTGCATGGAATGAGCCTTGAGTTGAATGTTTTAATAGCCAAAAAATAATTAAATAAGTTAATAAGTAAATGTTAAATTTTTGTCTTTTTTTTTCTTTCTTTTTTTTGCTGATCTGAAAATTTATCCGATCTGTGACTTAAAATCGTGATCCGATCTGAACCTTGAGATTTTTAATCCGTTGCACCACTTGTGGAAATGTAACTACAAGACGTCTGCTAGGAATAAAGTTAAAAAAAATTTCCAATTAATCTCACCCTAACATGAATGTTATGTATCATCCTTCTTTCAGCTGAGTCCTCCCGAAAAAAGCAGGAGACTTGGGGGTCTGGAAGTATTTAGGAACTCAGTCATATGTGTGCGGGCAGGAAACCGTGCAGTCGAGAATCTCTCACAACCCATCACGTTAACCTTCAAACACAACAAAGAGGTAAAAAGACAAAAGTGTTGGACGAACATCTTAAATAGAAAATGTAACAACCTGTTTACCGTTCAATTTGATTCCAGGTTGAAAGTGGAACGTGTGTATTTTGGAAGGAAACATCAGCAAAGGATGGAACAGGTAATTTGGAGATGTCAACCTTCAGTTAGTTTGTTTCTAAATAAAATGACTTAGTTACTCAGAATGTTTTCTTTATAGGTTACTGGAGCAATGAAGGTTGTGACACAAATTACACGGCACATGAATTTATTTGCAGCTGCAAACGTCAGAGGTTCTTTGCTGTGCTTGTGGTGAGCTGAAAATCTCTTCCTACGTATCATAAAAGCCTTTGGCAAACACCATGTTTATCTAATAAATGTTTAACAACTGTTACTGTTGATAAACAATTTAAATTAAGGAGCTGTTTCAAATGTATGCTGTACTCTTACTGTGTAAGAACACAACAACAGACAGAGGGAAACACAGAGCTTAATCTGACAAAACGAGACAGGGAGGAAGCAAAACTGGAAACACTGAGCATGGGAGGCGAGAATATCACAGCAAAACGGGAAACAAGAGACATACACAAAGACACAGACTTAGCACTGTGACGTGGAGACATGACTTACTAGGGAACTAGAAACATGAGACAAAAGTAACTAACCATGGAACACAGAGAAGGCACAGTAGAAGAAAACTAAAGACTAGGAATGATAAATATAACACAAGCAGAAAACCATAAAGAGAACCAAAATTGTGTAAAACATCAAATCAAAGAAAATAACTACAAAAACACAAAACACTTGGTCACAGACCCAGTACGGTAACAAGCACACCTGCCACTCTAAGACACACACACTTAATTTTAAGCTTTGCCAGCACATGGATGACTTCTACAATAATTCACTCATCATATAATTGTGATGAAGGGTGAACCAACCAACACAGTCCCAAGCATTTATTGTTCCGACATGTAAACATCTCGCCATTTTAACATGGGAATGGGGAAATTTAGGTATAGATGCTCCTGTACAGATGTCCATCAAACACGTGAATGTAAATTACATTTCAAAACAACAACTTCATCTTTTTATGTTGCAGAATCCAGGAATATCGGTGACAAAAGCTGATGCCGACAAGCTAAACTACATCACTTACATTGGATCAGGACTCTCCGCCCCCTTCGCATTGATCAGTTTGTTCATCTATATTTATCTACAGTGAGTAGATGTCATATTATTCACATTTAAAACTTTATAGTTTTCAGTTCCCAATTGTGATCAAATAAGAAATTGGAGAAAATAAACAATTTGCAAGTGACTGTATAAAAGCTATTCAGTTTGTTAGTGACAGCAGCTCAGCAATAATGTCTGCTTTATAAAACAACTGTTGAAAGTGAATTTATCCACAGTTCCACTTCAGCAGTACATATCCTGGTGTACATATCCAGAGTGAACTGCTTTGTCTCACACTGTGAAGTTCCACAGTATTCAGTTGAACAGAGGTAGTATGCTTTATGGTTCTTTAGTCAAAGAGATGAAAAATATGTTTTTAAAAACATATTATTATTGGATTTATTTAATCAAAAAGTGTTTTCATTCTAAAGTCAAACCACTGTAAAAAAAAGTCACAGACAGAATCAGAACCACAATCAGAATTTATTAATCCCAGAGGGAAATTGAGTTGTCATAGCAGCAAATATGCAACAAACATCAAGCACTCATATAAAATGAAGTGTAGAGATTGAGATATTTTTAGATAAATATTAAGATAAATATAGAGGTATCAGTATAAATAAATATATATACATTTAAAAGGGACACACATATGTGTGTGTGTGTGTGTGTGTAACACGCCCCTAGTGAGAGGGCAGCCAACAGATTATATCTGGTCCTGAAAAAAACAGGTAAATGATGAGATGGACGACAGGTAGTTTGTTTTCCTCTCTCGCTTCTGTCAGATCTTTAATTATACACATTCATGTGTTCAAAATCAGTTACAAATCGTCTGAAGCTCTTTATCTCACATTCCTAAAATCAGAATAAACTTAATGATAATATAAATAATATAAACAAAAATCTAAACAGCCATATTGCTTGTTTGTTACTCAGAGCTACAAATCCCACTCTTTTTACCCACACATAGTTTAATAAAACAAACATTCCTGCACTCTACCATATACTAGTGCCTTATCTGTGTAGTCAAAATCTCCACATCAACATTGCAGAGTGACCAGAGTTGTTATTTCACTAACTTTAGTCAGTTACAGTGGCAGCACATCAAACTGTCTCTGTGAATTCACTAACTCAAATATATGGGAGCGGTGTTGTACTTTTGAGGGAGACTTAAGTTTAAAAAAAGACAAAGCCGAAGGCTACACGCAACTCCAGCATGCGCGAGCTAAGCTAGCTCCTCCTGTCTTAACCGTAACAGATTTCAAAGAGCAAGACAAATACAGATCCCACCGAGACAAACTAATCGTCAGGTTTTACTTTTACTTGGCATGTTAATTATGTGGACCACATTCAATTTTTCAGTTCAATTAAATTTTATTTATATAGCGCCAAATCACAAGTGCAGTCGTCTCAAGGTGCTTAATATTGTACAGTAGATCGTACAATAATAGATACAGAGAAAAACCCAACAATCATATGACCCCCTATGAGCAAGCACTTTGGCGACAGTGGGAAGGAAAAACTCCCTTTTGACAGGAAG